GGTGTACCCAGATAGTTTGCTAGCGCAGGTCATCGCTCAAAGTCAGTATATCAAGATATTAACTTTTTACAAACTACTAATTAAAACCACAAAGCAATTTACAGCTTACGACCCACAATTCCTTTCGGTCTCAGATTTCAGATCTCCAACCGACGTCTTTTGAAATAGGTGTATACAGCTTTTTTCAGGGTTTGTGCTGAGGTAAACACTTAAAATTTAAGGGCTATCCGAGGAGAATCCAAGGACCTAATAATGATTTTTCAAGTCCACGGATCACAAGAAAAGATTTACCTAGAAACGAAGTGTTTGTTGTCTGGGCAGAATGCCACGTCCAGCACCCAAGAGCTGTGTCCAGATAATGTACCAGCAAGATTTGCATGTTGTCTGCACACAAGTTAGGGATTCATATACAAACAGACTACATTCTAGCGTAACACTGAGTAGTGCGCTCTCCTCTCGCATTTTGGGCCCTGGGTTTGATTTCTGGACTTCGCATCACGTGTAAATATAGAGATAACTAGCTAAAAACTAGTGTGAGCTGCGTCGGTGTTTCTAATGAAACAGTAATGATAAAAAGGTAAATTATACACCGTGAAAAGATGAAAAAACTTACTGACGTTTCGGTCGCTAGTCCTTCGTCGGAGTAAAAGAAGGACTAGCGTCCGAAACGTCACAGTTTTTTCATCTTTTCACGGTGTATAATTTACCTTTTTATCATTACAGTGTACATGTAAATATAGTTTTTTTGGTTTTCTATCTTGATTTGAGGGTTTTCTCTTGATTCTCCAATTTTCTTCACACTAGACTGCGTTGCATGGCGGCAAGCAGTGTTGCAAGAGAGAGATAGAGGTACACTGCAACACTGAAGACAGCCAGCTGATCTGAAACAGTGACGTAGACATGACGTCACTGCAAACCTGAGCTGTAATGAAGACTGCGAAAACTTGACCAGCAAAAATGAAAAAAAAGAGCCCGCAATAAGCCTGAAGCGAGATGACGTTTTACCCCCGTCTCTAGACCATAATCCTTTTCACACTGCTGGGGTAAAACGTCATCTCGCTTCAGGCTTATTGCAGTAAAAGGTATACAACTCATAAATTATTGTGTCATCGTTATCAAGCACGTATCGACAACTTCATATCTTTTTTTTATTTGGTGGACCGTTATTTGGTGGACCGGAACCCGGTGATTTCAAATGGAAAAGCTACATCTCAGTTCTGCAAATATTTTCGACTCTGCTAACATTTTTTCTCAGATCATCTGGAGCCGAGCAACGACACTGCACTCCATGAAACACAACAATTCCAACTTCTTTACCAACAAAGGACAAGATCATTAGGTTCGCTACACACAGAACTATAAGAGTCGCTCTTATAAAACAATTAAAAAAAAAACAATTTGCTGCTAGCTATCTCTGGGCTCCCTGTCTCCTTTCCTACACAGGTAACCCAACGAGTAAAGGATACACGTCGTACATTTTAATGTGTCCATCGTCTGATGCTGTGATGAGTAGCTGCGAGTCTGGTGAGAATGTGAGTGATCTTATCGTCATAGCATGACCTGGAACACAATGGATTTTAATCAGGATATTAATAATGAATATTAGATAATATGACATATTAGTATAAATACACAGGTGATTATTGAAAATCTCGCGCACTGATTGGTCGAGAAACTCGCACAATCACACGATAATCACCTCCAGTGATAATTCAAAATGGCGGCCAGCCGCTTTGTTGCTGTTACCGGGAAAAAATGTCTTTTATCTTCTTTTTTTTCTTTTTTTGAAAGAATCTGTATTTATACTAAAACAATTATTCTCCTCAGGCTCAGTGAATATCGGGAATAATAACCTCAACTTCGTTTCGCCGAATAATTGTTCATTCATTAGGACATATAATCAATAGACTTTTTTAGCTTGGTTGTTTGTCGTGCACATTTCAGACCATGTGATGCCACTCTTTGGAGTTGATTCTTCCAAGTGTAAATATTTTAACATGTTTGTCATCGACGAATAATTCTCAAGGGAATGTCATGTGAACTTAAATGGGCAATTTGCATACGCAGATCTAGCTTACACAACTGGCGTTCTTGTGATGGGTTTGAGGCAGAATCGGCCAAACCCAGGTTTTCCCCCAAACCCACAAGAACGCCTGCTTTGCAGCCTAACACAAATCTATAAAAGTCTATCGAAATCCCGCACCTCGATCAAAGAAAGAAAGAAAGAAACAAACAAAACAACAAACAAACAGACAAAGGGACAAACAAACAAAACAACAAACGAACGAACGAACGAACGAACGAACGAACGAACGAACGAAAGAAAGAAAGAACAAACAAAAAAGCAAATAATCAAACAATCAAACAAGAAAAGAAAAAATACAGAAAGCTATACAAACAGACAAACAGACAGACAGWYAGACAATAATGGAGAAAAAGTGTTTGGATAACCCATACCTTCTAATGTGTGAAGCAGCTTGGCTGTTGTAAGATCAAAGATGTTGATGATGCCATCGATGGCACCACATGCGATGTAGTGACCATCAGGACTCTGTTACAACACAACAAAATGATGAGCATTTTATGAACATTGAAATGAAGAAAGAAAGAAAAAGGAAGAATAAAAGAAAGAAAGGAAGGAAGGAAGGAAGGAAGGAAGGAAGGAAGGAAGGATGAAGGAAGAAAGGAAAGAACATCCAACACACTCTCTACTCATACCCCCTGTCTGCCGTGAAGTGTACTTACGTATGCAATACTCATAGTGAACTTCCCTCTTGTATCCAAGGATCCAGTCTTCTTACCACTCTCTAGATTAATCAGGTTAATCTGCCCTGAATGGCTCCCTGTGGCCAGGAACTTGGAGTCTGGTGCAAAGGCAACTGTCCAAGTATCAACTGAAATCCAAACAAGTGAAGTCAATATTGATGATCGGAACGGTCAAATAGGATCTCTATTTAGAGATSAGCCACTACAAGGGTACAACCAGGTGATCTCGTTTTGACAGCCCATCCAAAACCAGCCAATCAGCGCACAGGAAGAAATTTGATCAGGAGAAACAACATGGAGGCCACAGTGAAAGAAAAGAACTCTACAAAATATTAGATTTTCTAGCTACTTTATGGCTACTTTACTGGCTGGTCTACGAGTCATTATAAAATAACTGTTATGAATGTCGCGTTCTGATTGGTTTGGAGCCCGTGCTTTATGAGAGCACATTGCACGCGCGCACACTTTCCGKTGCGTCATTCCTATCTATTATTGTTATTTATATTTTATAAAAGAAATAAAAAACTTGCTTGCTGTGCTGTGTGCCGTCATAAAGCACTTGGGAATTGGCAGAACACTCGAGAAGTGTCCAGAAGCACTCCGCTACGCGTCATGCTTTCCGCGTGCGCGCGTTTTCTATTTCTTCAATGGCCCATTTGGCCTTTGGTCTCAAGTTGTGAACCTGTAGAAACAAGAAAGACAGTCTTTAACGTTAATAATACCTGGTCCACAGTCAATGGTTTTTAATTGTTTTCCTGATTCCAGATCCCACACACGAATATGGCTGTCTAGTGAACTGGACGCAGCAACTATTATAAGGTTAAGGTTTCATTTAAAAACATCCCAATTTTGCATTGCTTCTGCAAGTCATTAATCCCTTAAGAATAGTCATTCATACCCATACTCATAAGAGCTCTAGATGCATCACTAAAATGACCTCTAGGCTGGTCTAAATCAGGACAAAGGTAACTCACAGATCAAACTCTGAAACAGCTCTGGGCAGATCTAAGTCAGGGCATGGCTAACTCACAGATCAAACCCTGAAACAACCTCTGGGTTGATCTAAGTCAGGGCATGGCTAGCTCACAGATCAAACCCTGAAACAACCTCTGGGCAGATCTAAGTCAGGGCATGGCTAACTCACAGATCAAACCCTGAAACAGCCTCTGGGCAGATCTAAGTCAGGGCATGGCTAACTCACAGATCAAACCCTAAAACAACCTCTGGGCAGATCTAAGTCAGGGCATGGCTAACTCACAGATCAAACCCTAAAACAACCTCTGGGCTGATCTAAGTCAGGGCATGGCTAACTAACAGATTGAAGTGAGGAAAAACTATGATTTAAAACTGTGTGTCCCACAATGGTAAAGGATACGCGTTCCAGCTTGATTGACATCAACAGATACGACTCCCAACTGATGTCCCTCAAAATTGAATCTTGGTTCCAGTTTGTCTTCATTCCTGGTGAAAAAAGGGATAAAACTCTAACTTTAAAAAACCCATGGTATGAATCAGTACAAATTTGCGGTATATTACTCAACATACATGTAATAAATAATTTTGGAAGACAACACTTAATTCTTTAATTTGTTAAACTTATTTTGGATAGCAAAATATCTCAAACTATTTATAAGTCATCATCATCATTATCATCATCCCCATCATCATCCCCATCACCATCACCATCATCATCACCACCATCGCCATCATCATCATCACCTTCATCATCATGACCATCATCATGACCATCATCATCATCATCCCCATCACCATCATTATCATCATCATCACATCATCATCATGCCATCATCATCATCCAATGATCATCACCATCATCATCTTAGAGGATTGAAGGTGGACAGAGGTGATATTCATGGTTCCAACTCCCCTTAGTTACCATTGTTATGCCCCACAAAACAGTAGAATATTCAAACAAATATTTGAATATTTATTTGAATGTACAAATATTCAAATGAATATTCAAATACTCATACAAAATGCATTCATGCGTGACGTTTGTTGACTGTAATACCACTTGAACAAACTGCTGCAACATTGAATGTACCACTATAACAATAATTGTCAGAACCCTGAAATACCTCATACTTACCATCACCTTCCAAAGACAAGTTAGACTAAACAATGTTACTCTGTATTACTCTGCATATYATGAACCCATGTTATTTTGAACATCTTTTCCTGTCACAAGAGGTAAAGGGATAACAGGGCTCCATGGTATTTAGCAAGTAATGACCTACCATTTCCAACATTTAACCATGTCATCTACAGCTCCTGTAAGTATGTTCTCTGTGCCATCAATTTCATTGGTTCCCCAGGCAACAGTCCAGATACTGTCTTCATGTGCTGTTCATTGGTATAAAATAATAATAATAATAATAATAATAATAAATAATAATAATAAAAACCAACTGATTTATAATCTGTACGATCTAATAGACAAGAAAAAAATATTTTGACAGTCATTGAATGAAACAAGCAAGTTTTGCATATCATTAAATATACTGAATAAATTAGATATTTGTATAAATGTATACTACAACGTTTCTGCAATCGAGTGTATGTATATGTATATACATATCATATTATTTGTTTGTCCCTCATCATATAATAAACTAAAAAACTAAAGGYTTATTTACCTTTTTCTTGCTTGCAGTATACTGAAAACTACAAAAAAAGTATTCTTTTTAGCATATATTTACATCCATCTCTCCCACGAAGGGCCTYTTTGTGGGGAATTACATTCACTGAGCACAACAATCAACTCACGAGTTAATTCATTTTTACTTAGGGAGGAAAATGGGAGAACCCAGAGAAAAACCCTCATATTAGCAAGGGAGAGAATTAAGAAAACAAACTCAGCTCCAGTTTATTCTCAGTTGTGAATTGAACAAGCTACCCCATGCAGGAATGAATTACTGCGTTAGGGTTAGGTTTAGGGTGCCAGTTAATAGAGACTTTTAGCATCAAGTTTACCGCGAACCTCTAACCGCTAGGGGTCAGGCCGAGAAACACATTCGCAAACATAGAGCAACACTCAGCATAATATAAGTGAATTCAATATGACAGCTCTTCCAGCAACAACTTCCTAATGAAGCTTTGCTAAGTGTTGAAAGTTTGACGGAAAACCCCTGACATCAAACTGTAGTTTGAGGGTACTATCATYGTGTATGGATTAACGAAGTACGTCATAGGTTTCCGAACACACGAGTGGGACTTAGAAATGTTGGTTCTCCTCACTTAGAAAAAAAATTAAGTGAAGACACCAAGAATCGAACTCGGTACCTTCGGCACCAAAGAACTACTACAATGCCAACCCCAACCCTAACCCTAAACCTTACCCCTAGACCACGAAGTGAATTCGGTTGGGTAGGTCTCATTTTTTAGTCATATTTAAACGATGTATCATCAGCGCGTGCACATATATATTTATTATAGTTTAATTTATGCTATCGTAGGGTACGATTACTAGCCGATTACTTGAAATTTGAATTKGAATAGAATTCCCCTGACAATTCCCGTACACGATGATACAACCAGTTTGAGGTTYGTGGGGCTAGCAAGAACAACATTCACGACAGGGAAATCAGGCAATACACTTCCATCAATCAAATAAATTATTGTCTCAATCAGTGCCTAAGGCTTATGCTTCTCCTTACACTTCTTTCATGCTTACGTCACTTCCTGCGTGCTTTATTACTGAACAGAGTATGGAAAAAGCTGTTTTATTAGTCTTATTATAAATATAGTTAATTATTTTATTTTGAGAGGTTGAATTTATTTACATGGAAAGAAAGACAGCCACAGGATCTAGCAGCTGGGTTTGCGCTAGCAGATGGCATCAGCACTGTGCTCTGTTTACTAATAGAGCACAGTTTTTGACCAATCAGTGCACACGTACTATCCTAACTATATAATAAACACAAACTCATATGAATATATAGTCGTTAATAGTGTACTAAATGAGAATAATGAACCAGCAAGTTAATAATCACCAAAGAATTGAAGAAATTCGTGGTTCTAGACAAAAAAATACTCGTGCTATATTAAAGTTTGACAGATTAATGTGCACCAAAATGAGAAGAAAGTAACGACTAAAAAGCACTCGAGAAATCCTACAATACTTACCATTGTGTATGCAATCTTTACTTAAAACTGGTGTAAAAACAAGTGATATTTTGTCCAATAACCGAATGAGTTTATCAAGATGAAGTTTTCACAAGTTTTCCGCCATTTTGAATAAAGCGGGCTCAAGATTGGTCAGCAGAAGACTAATCTTATTCTTCACGGGGAGGGGACGGGAGAAATTGTCATGTGACAGCGTTTCGATAAAAACTTGAAAGTGCAATAATTCAACAGCTCTTTTATACGTAAATATATTACATGTATATGYACGTGGATATTTTTTTGCATTTAGCAATGGTAAATTTGTACAAGAACATAACTCAAATTTCCAGAGTAAAAACTTTACGAAAAGTTTACGTTTCGCAAAATTGTTGAATTCATTTAAAAAAGGGAAGGCATATTGAAAATATAACTTTTTTTCTAAAACTTCTTTGTATATAAACAGTGAAAGATTGTGTTTTAGTCTATCAAAGCGCTCCCACCCCTCCCTTAATTTGAAATTTGTTACTCATACTACCCAGGATCCATTAGGCGCGCTAAAGCCAATGCAAAAATATATTTTCGWGGAAGAGGTCGGGAGATAATATTCGAGCTTCTTTAAAACACATATAAAACTAAAAAAATCCTTCATTGGAASCATAAATTAGTAAATCCTAGAGCAATTTAAAGATAATAATTGTTTTTAGGTTTTGTATTTATTTCATTCACGATAATATATGAAGTAAACTTTAGACTGTTTTGTCCCTCCCCTCCCTAGTATTATCAGTCATTACCCAGGATCCGAGGCGAGCTTTTCTCCACCACACAGTTTTAGTAAAGAAGYAAGATGGCGTCTCTTTCGAGGTCTGTCGTTTTATTTGGACGTACAAGCACAAGATTCAACGCTGTAAGAAAGTCTCTCTTACGTGGAGGATCCGAGGAAGGACCAGGAATGGTATGGATATTTTCATTTAGCGTAAATGTTATCTTTTTGGTGTAAAAAAAACTAGTTTTACCGGGTACGTTTACAAAATGGCGGCTGTTATACAACTGTCTCTTCAAAAACTACTTCTTAGATTAAGATGTCTAGTTTTCGGCTGCAATGGATTCAAGAAAACTTGAATAAAACATGAGGATAGTAATATTTAAACTGCCCTTTGTTTCTTTTCTCTGCTCTTTTTACATTATTTTGGGTGTTTTATAGCCATGTCCTGACTTAGATCAGCCCAGTTTTCTCAGGGATCAATCTATGAGTTAGCCATACCCTGACTATTAAGATCATTTCATGCATGAAGTTCCAGGTAGTTCCAGGATTGATCTTTAAGTTACCTATGCCCTGACTTAGGTCAGCCCAGAGGTTGTTTCAGGGTACAATCTGTGAGTTAGCCATGCCCTGACTTAGATCAGCCCAGAGGTTGTTTCATGGTTTGATCTGTGAGTTAGCCATGCCCTGACTTAGATCAGCCCAGAGGTTGTTTCAGGGTTCAATCTGTGAGTTAGCCATGCCCTGACTTAGATCTGCCCAGAGGTTGTTTCAGGGTTCAATCTGTGATTTAGCCATGCCCTGACTTAGATCAACCCAAAGGTTGTTCCAGCAAGGAATCAATCTGTGGGTTAACTAATAACGTAGATCTGCCCAGAGGTTGTCTTTGGGGTTGATAAAATTTCTTTTTGTTTGGTATGGTATTTAAAACATACACCTAATTGCAAGAACCTTGTCATACAAAAATAGAACATTAGTGAGTTAGTGGGATAGGAATTATATTAAAAAACAAAAGAAGATTACTGAAACTGAACTTTTTCTTTTGTCTTTTAATGTATTCCTTTCCCACTAAATTACTAATGTTCTATTCTTGTATGACAACCTTCTTGCAAGTAGGTGTATATAATTTAGTACCAAAACTAATTAAAATATCTGGCAAATTCCTTAAATTACTTAACAAGCGAAAACGTACTAAAAGCACTGTATAATTTATATTTGTAGAACATGCCATTCCAGACCAAGAACAAGACCCGTCTTCTACTGGTCATGTGCACCTATCTAGGCACTTGCTTTAGTCTTCCATTTATTGCAGTTAGATTCCAGATGGCTAAGGCAGGATCTGGTTGATAAAGAAAAAGCTTGAAGAAATTCAATGTCAAGTGTTCTAGAACTGATTTGCTGCTTCAAATACCTTTTGTTTTAATTCCAAGTCATATATGTTTTGTGTGTATGATATTATAAGATTGAAAAATGTTCTAATTTGTTAAAGAATCTCGTAGCCATGATTTCAACATGAGTGAATATTGTTCTTACTTCAAGACTTTATTAAATATAACTGGAATTGTATACTTTTGGTTTATTGTGAATTTTTTTCTTCTATTGGTTTGCTCACAGATGTGATGATTCTTTTTATTTATGGAGTACAGTAAAAACCCGCGTATAAGAACCTAGGTTTTTTCAAGTTAGCCTAAACAGGTTCTTATATAAATGGTATTTAGAGTTAAATTAGGCTAACTAGGTTCTTAATTAGGTTCTTAACTTTTGTTCAAGAAATAAAGTAGTATTTTTGAATACTGTAATCTGGTCTTTAATGTCCAATTACAGTATTCTTGGAAGCTTAGGTAATCAAAGGTTCAACTCAGTTTCATTTTAAGTTGGATTGTTTTATTCAATGAGGACATGTTCTTTACAGTAACCATGTACAGTTATCGTGTTTATAGCATTGTTGTGTACAGACTGTGTTATAAATATATTTTTGAAAAGATTGATTCTATTTTTTTAAAAATAAGAACCTGTTTTAGGATTTTAGCCTAAAATGGTTCTTATGTGAAGGGTGCTTAAAAATGAAATTTTAGCCTAACAGGTTCTTAAATTTTAGGTTCTTATACGCGGGTTTTTACTGTACCCCATATGTACTGAGAAAAAAATCAAATAAGTAATAGTAAGAAGAGAATAAGCACGGGCAAGGTATCGCACTTTTATATATATATTTTTTCATTTTTGTTCGCATTTATTTTTCATCTTAACCTTAATCAAACACCTGCTAGTATAGCCCTGTTCAGTGGCCAGAGTTTATTTAACGAGCCTGCTTTCCGTCAAATTGTTATCCGACAGAGATCTATCTCCGCAATGAATTTGAAAAGTAGACGTTGTTATTAGTCAGAGTAACTACGAATGAAATAAAAATAAAGCCTTTTTGCAGAATAATTATTAGAAATGTTGTAGACATCTTATTCTATTTCCGTCGTGTATCAACACCTTAAAGACCTTTTAGGACTGAACTAGATAGGAATCTTTTCGTCTGGATATGTAAAAAGAAAACTTGTAATCGCTATTTACCTTTTGCAAGTACGACAGTGGCGCAGCTGAACAGGGTCGAACCGAAAGTGGAAATGCACTTTTGACCGCACCCGCTATAAAGTGTATAGATAAATATGTTGAGACATTTTAGAATAAAGACAAGAAACTAACCTTGTGGAAGTCAAAACACTGATCCAGAAACTCTTTTTGTGGTCGCACTTGCTTTCAAGAGAATTTTGAAATTGGTCTGTGTTTTCTAATTAATGTCCGACGTTTTGTTATTCCCTTGAGTATTGCACAAGAGTGGTCTAAAATGGAAAGAGATTATGCAAAAAATTAATGCACAGTACAAAAAAGAATAATACTCAAGGGAATGATACGTGTTCTGAAATGGGAAAACATTACGCCCAAAGTAAAAGGATATATAAAAGAAATAATACTCAAGGGAATGACATGTGGTCTGAAATGGGAAAACATTACGCCCAAAGTAAAAGGNTTTTTTTTTTTTCATTATAAAAAATGGATTTGGCTGTTTTTATATTTCGTGAAATGTGATTTTTGAGACCCTGAGGTACTTCACAATGTAAAAAGCCCRTTTTAAATGTCAAATCTGATGCAAATCAACAAAACGTATTGGTTGAACCACTTGCATTAAGATTTGGCACGTGAAGTTTGGTGTTTATGCTGCAATTTGTTAACCGGTCAAAAAGTCGTACATTTATGAGTTCCATTCATACGGAACTGAGCTATCCGAACATAAATTTGTACCCCTAGTCCTGCAAATTTGGATCCAGTTTCTCCTAAACAAAAGGTATTTTTTATATTAACAGTAAAAACAGTGTACATGTAAACATTAATTGTACAGGTCAAATTTTTTAGCGGTTCAAAATTTGCCAGGTACCGACGGTGTAAATGCAGGCTTTTTTAAAAATTGTACTACCTAAGTTTTTAATATTACTTTTCAACTATTCCTTGTACAAACTAACTTTCACAAGATATCTCTCCTATCTCTCTACCCTTGTGGATACTCTGAAGACACAAACATTATTTAAAAAAAATTCTAATAAGGAATAACAAATTAAACTCMAGTATTGAGAAAAATATACAATTTTATCACATTTTTTGTATAGTAAGATGTGGGTAGCTTTATTGTACACTGTATATTACAAATGGTTGGTTCATGTTGCTGTCAATCAAGTATTTGGTGACAGAGGTGGACAGCTGTCACTCATGAAATTCCTTGGTGAGACCATGCCGTCTTGTTTCTCACTGGAAAAAAGAAAAAATTCTGATTAACTAAATTAAGTTTGCCTTATAATGGTAACTGAAAATTCCCAAGTTTTAGAAAACGAAACAAAATAAGAACTGGATGAATGAATTAACTTTTCATAAAGAAATAGAAAACGTGCATGTGAGCTGTGTGCAGTTATAAAGCACACAGAGGTTGGCAGATAACAAGAGAAGTGTACTGCCTGACACCAGAAATCAATATACACATACGCCTGTGTACAGGCACAACTGCCAAGGTCTTCCAAGAGTTCTGAATGTTAATTGCTGCCCCGTCAAAGCACAAATATTACTGGAAGTGAGGTTTATTAAATTATTCAGTTGTCCTTATACTCCCCTATATTCGCTATACTGGTAYGTGCTGCTAAACAGGGTATGGTTTTCAGCGATTCTACTCTGGAACAGGGTTTAATTGCACTTGCTGTGGGACAGGGTATATGAAATCACGCTCACTCCTCTCTGGAACAGGGTATCTAATTTGCAATATCGGAACAGGGTTTTTTATATACAATAAATTATCATTCATCAAACCAGATTAATGTGTCATTTAATGGGTATGGTTTTCAGAGATCTTACTCTGGAACAGGTTATGAATTTCAGAAGTTTTACTCTTGAGTAGGGTCAGTGTTCTGAGGGCTCAGCTGCACATCCCTACCCTAAAYGGCAAAAGTACMCCCCCTCTGGGTTAGGATATATCATGCAACCCTTCTCTCCCCATAAATGCTTCAGACGAGGCTATCCATTTCCAGATTAAACAAATTTCACCAATTTCTCTATAGTGTGACGTCATATGCAAAACCTCTACAGAAAATGATGCTACTAATACTCACACATCATAGTTAAGATGATCAATGACAGTATTAACATGCTCTTTGGGTATCTCTCCATCAATGTTAGCCAAGTAGGTGTATAACTCCTTGAAGAGAGAAAAGGGGATCCGTGCCGCACCTCCCTCTAGGTCTTTGGTCAGTATCTCACATACTGTTTTCATTGCAAGAGTCAAGTTCTGGTGATAAAGAATCAAAAATAATAAATAAAGGTTAAAACACTAGGGCGAGGGTTTGCAATGAAATTGAATACTAAGGGCACAGACCAGAGGTCTTGAATTTCAATACAAACATGAGCATGTGCATTTTAACTGGTTTAAAAACCAACCATGCCCTTTTCTGTCACTTGATTTAGGGTTTGAATTTTGATGGAAAACCTGTCACTGATTGTGAATTCAGCCCTACTCTCCCCTGTTAGTATCCATGCAATCAATGCCGACATCAAACATAGGGCATGGTTGGTTTTTAAAGTAGGTATCTATTAACTCCTTGGAGAGGATTGATGTTGCACTACAGGGGATCAGATTTCTTGAATGGGTAACAGCGAATCTAACCACTGGTACCGTCCCCAACAAAAAATAAATGAACCCCTTAGTAGCTATTGTATCATGCTGTAAATTAATTAGGACAGGGGAGAGGGGTGTATTAGCAAGGTCTTCGATTATATATTAGCGCAATGTTCCCGCCACAGGAATCCTGTAAGAATTAATTACATTTTGGTGCCATAAGGCAAGCTTTTTTTGGAGGCAGGGGCACATGCCCCCGTCTCCCCTCTCCACTATGCTAGTGGATTAGGACATACCTCACTGATGGCACTACAAGCAAGAGAAAGGAAATGCAGCCATTGAATTTCTTCTGCAAAACAACCAAGTCTGAAAACAAAGAGAACAAAAGTCAGACAAGAATCTTTGTAACAAATTAATCTACAAAATATTCTATTGTGTACACCCTTGAAAGGAGTATATACCCCAAGAACTTTCAATTTTCTTACATACAAACCCTGTAATTTTGCTCTTTCTCTGACCCCACTTCCCTCCAGAATTTCCAATTCCCTCTTTGGGTATGGATGTTTTCTGGAACTATGCATTGGTTAATTTTATTTCTGAAAGTCAATATCATTGGTGGCCATTATTAAATTTCATTAATAATCTTAGTCTTAYTTCTCAGAACAATTATGATTAACAGACTTTACACATCTTAAGGTAGGTAGGTTAGGGAATAGACCTATCCCGAATTCGCTTGACTGACCACAAAACAATGGTTTGAAGTTGAGACTGAACTTGATTCTTTTATTCATCAAGTTCAACCTCGACTTCAAACCATTGTTCCGTGACCAGTCATACAAGTGAATTTGGGATTGGTCTATTCACAGAAACCATACTGTTTATAAGGTATGAAGAGTTAACTAGCTAAAAACTAGTGTGAGCTGAGTCAGTGCTTCTAATGAAACAGTAATGATAAAAGGGTAAATTTTACACCATGAAAAGATGAAAAAACTTATTGTTTTCTTTTGTCTTGTTCTCAGTATATAAACACTCCTTTCTACCACCTCTCTCTCTTTTACTCCGACGAAGGACTATCGTCTGAAACGTCAATAATTTTTTTCATCTTTTCACGGTGTAAAATTGACCCTTTTATCATTACTGTTTAAGGTTTGGTAGTATACAAACCTCAAGAGGTCCTCTAATGTTGTTTTTGGCAGGCAGAGGTGTTTCCACTTTTCTTCTAAAGACGATAATTCAATAAGTGGTCTGTCACCAAGCTAGGAGCAAAAAATAAAAATTAATCTTTAGTTACCTACCAGAATTTACAGTATATGTCCACCAAAAATAGACGTTTACATATTACAAATTGAGACTAAAAGATATATCACGTGTTTCATTATGTATTCTTTGCTTTGTGTGTGTCAGCCTGAACTTTAAATGTAAAATTCAACTCATGAATCGAAAATCCAGAATGCCCTGACCATTTAGTGAGGATTTAAGATGGAGAATGGTATTTCAGCATTTGTTTTATGCCAGAACCTTTGAGAAAACACATTATATATTTTTTAGTCTAAATGTGTAAATGTCTTTTTTTGGTGGACAACGTTAATGACATTGGCTGTATAATAAAAAAAATGTATTAAAAAAATATATACTTAATTACTTGTTTATGTAGTACAGCCAGTTGCCCCTGTGTTAAAGGTTTTTCTAATGGTTCACCAAGTTGAAATTCCAAGCGATCTTTAATTGGTGGCTTCTCTCCTTTAGCAAGGGCATCAAAATATCTACATATATGCAGAAGAATCAAGCATTAATAATTTAGAATATTAGAAGCGAGTGTAAATGGCGTAATGCACCTATCGACGTAAGTCGCGTAGGGGTAGAGGGAAGGGGTGGGGTATCCAGGCAGGGGAAGTGGATTTAGAAAAATCACAAGGAAAAATTTAAATGCCCCAGGGATGGAAAAGCATTTGCCAATCAAATTGCACTAAATAACCCCATGACTTGTCATACATTTACTATGTGTATGTATTTGTACAGTAGAGTAAGCTTTTATATGTGATCAAATTTCAGACCCCAATCCCCCTGTTATTCCCCCCACAGGACTTACATTGATAGGTGCATAAGAGGGAGAAATGAAGAGTCTACGGTCACTTGACACTCATAATAACATTAACATCAGGCCACCGGAAACGGTGACATGAGGTCATCTGATATTCTCGAACAATCGTTGACTCACGAGGAACACACGTTCATATTGTTACCATTCTTTTATATCATTTATAAGCATTTAGGACCTGATTACTTCTTTGTTGTAAGTACTTTATGATTCAATGGGACTATTATAGCATGTTAATCACGAATTACCATTTATATATCATGTATTTGTAATCATTATTTTGTAGAATCACTTCTGCATCGTCATCGTAATAAAATAGACAATACGAGCATCGAGGGGTAATTCTTCAAGAAATATGAGTGATATATAGAAAATCTATATAAGGACTGCGTATTGCACAGTTAAGTAAATATAGATTTAAAATAAATTAGCATATATATGCAGTGCTAAAAATTTTCAGACGTTTCTTCATCAGTGTAAAAAATGTCTTCAACTGCATAAGAGGGAGGTTTAGACAACCCAGTATTGGCCATTAGCTTACCAAAAGTCTTCTTTAACCCCGTAATACAGCATTCGTCTAGAATGCGGACTCACGTTTTTAGTTGTAACACCCCGAATGAGTTTATTTACAAAGCATGGGAGTGCTTCCTTTAAGACAACATTGGAATGTTTTAAAAGTCTTTATGTGTCCAATATCTATCAAAATCTAAGTTTTGGCTTTTCTTCAAAGCTCTACATTTATTAAACAAACATCTAGTCTTAGAGATTTTTGAGGCTTTATTATTTATTATTTAAAAGCAAAATAAATGTAACAAAAGTGGAGAGAAATACTCAGATATTTTATCAAAACAAGTCCTTTCTTCWATGGAAGTTTTACGGCTACTTGTGCCAAATGTCTTTAGCAAAATCTACGTTTTTGCTCTTTCTTAAAGCTCTAAATTTATCATAAGAACCTCTAGTATTAGAGATATCGATATATTATTATCAAAAGGCACAAAAAAGGAAAGAAAATGAAGGCAAACACTAGAATAATTTATCAAAACATTGACTTCAAGTACTCACGCATAAGACCATTGTAAAACATCAGCTGGCTGCGTACGGATAGCAGCTTTTGTAAACTGTTTTAGTATATCTGGAAGCTCTGGTGGTATATTTATCTGCTGGGAGCAGTAAATAGGCTCATCTGGTTGAGGCATATTTTTTTTACGGAGAATAAATTTTTGAAATTTTTTTTTATGTTCACAAAACAAAATGGCCGAAAGTAAACTCCCGCGTGTTGCTATGGTGATGTAAGCAGTCCCAGCATGCAAAGAAACCACAGGAAACCCGTAATATGGTAAAAACATTATTCTGTTTTTTCGAAAATTTTATAACCTTTTTTAAATGTTATTTTATTTACCTTTAATTATGACCTTATTTGTTTGTCATAACTGAGTTTTAAGGCAATCTGATAATTTTTGGTTTCTTTTTGGGTATTTTGTTAAAGGTTGGGCTCCCTGTGGACAGAAGCGAGTCTTCGATCAATAAACAAGATGGSGGATTCGCTTGTCTTTCTTTGCCATAAAATATCACCAAAAATGTCTAATAATTTTTGAACAAATTGTCAAAAATGTGAACTATCAAGGTCAGTATTTATTAGATTAAATCAAGCTTTAAATTTAGGGTAAAAATATTATAATTTTCWTTTCTTAAATTTGACAAATAAGAAATGTTGCTGAGCGACTTAGATTCCTTGATTCGATCCTTGTACCTTATTAACCTTAATATAATAACGAGTATTTTCGCAGGCTAAACACTTCAATAATATAATTACTATTATAAAGTTATCCTTTCAATGCTTATTTGTCTTAGAAAACACAGTTACGACCTGACAGAGCGCAAGTAGCGAGCCAAAAAGAGGCTATAAAAGAAAGATTTTGATTTTCTTGTTGAGCGAAAGATGTCAACTTTATCAGAGCATAGTGACCCAGATGAAGAAGGTGTTCTGGATACAGCAGATGATTCAAGCATTCACTCACACAGCAGTAAGCCCTGTGAGTATACTTTTTGATGAGAGGGGAGGGGTGGGGGTAAAGAATGGACCGTCATACACACGGCACCATTAACATTCATCACACAGCACCATTCCAATGAAAATTAAAACCTTTGTTTATTAAAGCATGCGTAACCTTATCCTGAAGCACTCAAATGTGAGGCTCCGCTGTGCAAAAATGTATTGATTCATTTAATAACATGTTTTAGGTTTAAGGTCCATAATATTTTTTCTGTTTGATTGGCCAGGGAATGGTTGGCAGTTAAGATTCCATTGGAGTAGTAGGAGATATCAGCATATTGTCAGTCAATACCCAACCCCCCCCCCCCCCCTTACCCTATGGTGATCACGATTTAAATTCTTCTATTATGTAATGTAATATTCAGCCCACAGTTTCTGCTATCATCCAGACATATACCATCAGTCCCTACCCACCCCTCCCATTGTGGTCACAATTTATTTATATTTCTATTAGAGGCTATACGGTCCCTCATATCATCAGCATAGCATCATTCTCTCAAACCTCCCATGGTGGTCCCAATCTATTTCTATTTCTTTTATGTACAATATTCAGTGCAGTCCCTTTTATCATCAGCATACAATGTACCATCAATGTACCCACCCCTCCCATGGCAGTCACAAATATTCATTTATTCTTATATTATGTAATGTTCAATATACAATCAGTCCCTACCCACCCCTCCCATGGCTATCACAATATTCATTCATTCTTATATTATGTAATGTTCAGCATACCATCAGTCCCTACCCACCTCTCCCATGGCTATCACAAATTTTCATTTATTCTTATATTATGTAATGTTCAATATACCATCAGTCCCTACCCACCCCTCCCATGGCAGTAACAAATACTCATATATTCTCCTATTATGTAACATTCAGGCTACACAGTGCCTGCTATCATCAGTATACCATCAGTCCCTACCCACCCCTCCCATGGTGGACAAGCAGGAATCAAAGGTCCAAAGCATGGGTCATCGTCAGAGGAATTTGATTCTGAAAATGAAGATCAACACATTGAACACTTAGGTATATATATAAGCTGGATATCTGTAGCTATAGAGGCTTTGCACCATCATGTGATGGCAGCCATGACAGGAGACAAAAGCAATTGAATCTGGTCTAATGTGGTCTAATGTAGTTTACATGAAAAATAATTCAGTTTCCCAAAGGTAAGAGACTATATTCTTTTTCAGATTCTACCATCTGTCATCATGGGATGATGCAAAGCCTCGATTTTTACTTTTGGGGGAGAGGAGGGGGGGGGGGGGGGAGAAGAAATTTAAACAAATGATGAATACTTGAACGCATGAATAAAACTGAATGAATGAATACATAAAGGAAGGAAAAAATTGGGTTATAGATAATGGTTATTATTTCCAGTTTGCTTTTCTAAAAATAATGCSTAATCTGTTACATCCTGGAAAAATGGATTGCAAAACAAACAAAATATTGGTAAGGCAATAATAACAAGATT